TATGTGTACTGTATGTGTACGGAAGTCATGAGCAAATTTCAATATCAAAGGCATACCCTAGTTAAAATAAAAAAAAAAAACAAATAAGTTATTCATCGTTTCTGCATTCTTTGTACTTTTTTGGAAAGCGCTGCTGCTTTCGATAGAATTCGCATTTTGTTAGTTAAAATATCATGTAATAGGGTTCATGTCAAAATTAGCTTGACCTTTACCAAGTATTTTATGTCCTCATTAAGTAACTCTCTGGATTTAAAGAAAGAATCAGCAATTTTCAAGATAAGGAGAATATCCTTTAATTATATAAAAATGGCTAAGATCTATAAAGTGTATGCCCTTGCAAAAAGGCAATTTAATAAGCCACCCACCTCGATGCTAAAAATACCAAACAGGTACATATAAGCACGATAAAATTAATTAAATACATTCTGTTGATAGTTAATCAGGAATCACATTATATGAAAATTTTATATTGGTATTAAAAGCCCATCTAAAATCTGTAAATAATATTGCACTTTTCATCGTAAAAAAATTACTTTACCTGCCTCTCACAGCACATGAATACGTCATTTTATTACATAGACGTAATGTCGACAAGTTCCTTGCGATCAGTGATTTAAGATAACCTGTTAGTGGGATTTAACTAGCATTTTTTTTTAAATGCATTGATAAATTGTATTAGTGTTTATTATGCTAATACAATTTTAAGTTAAAAATTATTTCATTTTCTGGTATTTGAGGAATGACTGTTTTGTGTGATGTCATTATAAATATTTCTCGTATAAATTAGGTCCCGCTTCCTTTTCTTAATATCAAAAATGCTACGCTGGAAAGGCTCCTTTCACTAAGTCTCGTCATAGAGGACATGGGTAGACCAACACCAGTACCGATCGTTGCCTAGAGACACAAAACTTGACGTCAAGGAGATGCAGGGCGAGGACCAATAGGTGGACTTCATGAGACAAAGGGACACGCCCTCTGGTAATTTGTGTTTGGGGGCCATAGGGAATATTTCCTTGCAAGAAATCTGCAATGAAGGAAATTAAATGAGCCGAGGGAAATATTACATATACAGCTATTATCATGTGGCTATTGGGCAGGAAATAGATCGAAGAAAAAAGAGTTACCCGAAAGTATGAGAGTGGAAGCCAGATACATTCCAATGTTATAGAGATTTGTGCAATTTCAGGGAATTAAATATAAATGTGTGTTTTTATTTGTGCAGTATTATGCCAGTATGATTGTAAGCTAACCATATATATTTGGACTATGCTTGTATGACTAGTTGTTCACTGGCTTGTTTTGTTGTGTTTATTCATTTATTTTTTTAAAAATAAAATGTACTTATTTCTTTCTCTTTTTTTTTTTTTGCTAAAGATGTTATATACAGAATGAACATAATTTGATAGGTTAAACGGGAAACAGGACACATGTCACATGACTAAAAAGACATATCACGTCCTAATCGGTGATGATATATGTGTTAAACGTTGTTAAAATCAACAGTTTTTGTGTAATTTTATTCTAAATTCTAAAATTGTTTTTTAAACATTTAATTTCAGAAAATATTATTAAAAAAATTAAAGATCTTGCCACCATTGAGATATATTGTGAAATTGCACAATCCACATATTTGTTTCTCTTTACCCTGCAGTCTGACGTCAGTGACGTCATAGACGTAGTGTTTGAATTCTAAGTGCAGCGAGATTAAGTGTGATTCTGACCATGCTCCATTGTCATGAGAAAATATAAACTGGCTTTTAAGCTTTTTTCGTATTATGTGTTTTAAAACAAGGGGCCCATGGGCCTTATAGGTCACCTGAACCTCATATAACAACTTTCCAACAATTGAATTTGGTTTGAGATCGAAATCTGAGTCTATGACATTCAAAAATCTGATAGAAGCATAATTGCTTATCTTTACACTTCAAATGTTACGTTTGATTATTTGAGTTATTATCTATACCAATTACCAGGGAAGGGAACACACAAAATGTATTTCAATAACATGTTATCAGTAGTTATTAGCAATAATTGATATTACCCCACTCCAAAGGAACCTATGACTCTGACCATGCATTTCACAATTTCCGAAAAAGGCTCCCTTTCGCATCATACATTTTTTATTATACCAAGGAACAGATTTTAAAGCATTAATTCAATTTCATTTTATCCATAAGAAAGCCCCCGTCTATAGAACCCATGACCCAGTGGCTTTGTAATTCACAATTTTGGAAGAAGGACCCATCATGAATATTTCATAGATGAACTACCTAAATATCCAGGAGCAAAGCATGACTCATGGACTGTGAAACCTGCAATTTTATCAGAAAAAAACCCTTGCTCATCAGAAATACATGTAAGTAATACGTTTGTTTTACAACAAGGGATAGACAAGAAAAGATTTTCAAATAATAAATGCACTTTCACTAAATAATTAATAGATCCCTCCCTGAACACCAGAACCCCCGACTCTTGGATCATGAAATTTTCCATTCTGAAATAAGGACATTTGCTCATCATCACTACGTATGTAGCTAGATTGTTTGACACCCAAGATCAGAGGAAATTAATGCATTTTACTATATTATTATTAAATCTCAGCACTAACACCAGAACCCCTGGCACAGGGGCTATGAAATTCACAATTCTGGAACAAGGACCATTGCTCATCATAATTATGAATATAGCCAATTTGTTTAACATCCAGGACTTTTTAAAAAATTAAGCAATTCCATTATATAATCAATAGAGCCCCGCCCTTAATTACACCAAAACTCCTGACCCAGAGACTATGGAATTCACGGCTTTGAAAGAGACATAATTCCTTATCATAACTATAAACTAAAATTGTTTTATACTCAGGATCAGAAAAGAAGATTTTTAAATGAACTTTCACTATATAATCTATATCCCCGCCCAAGCACAGGTGCACCTAACCAGGGGAACACGAATTGCACAATGTTGATGGAGGATCCAATGTCAATTCCAATCATGCCAACAACTTGACTGCTTGATGTCCAGTAGAAAAGAATAACATTTTTAAAGATTATCTTAGTTTATGTGGTTTTGGTCCAATCCCTCAAGCCCTAGGAAAACAAGAAACATGAAAAACCACATATTTTCTTCTCATTCATCAAATCTGCTATATACTGGTATATATGCTATATATATTGATTAAAATTGGTTGCACAGTTTCATAAAATAAAAAAAAATGATCAAATATGTGTGTATGACACACTACAACGGACAAGAACAGATAGCAATAGATCACCGGAGTACCTTAGGTGAGCTTAATTGTAAGAAATCGAATAACAGAATTGTGGCTCACTCTACTCCTGAGGTCACAATTTGAACAAACAAGAATGTATACAGTCACTACACAGTCACTACACTCATTTTTGATATTTTCTGGCCCATGATTTCATTTATTGACTTCCACTTTATTTTCGCATACTGCCCCCATGAAATAGATTTGTCCTTGGTTTAAACAGTTAATTTCTTTTCTCTTTACATATAAATGTTTGATATTGACTTTGCTAAAATTGGTCAAGAGGTTCATAGATGAAGTTGAAAATCTGAAAAGTTTATAAACAGACAACAGACAAAGGGTATTTGAGCTTTCCACTCAGTTCCTCCAAAATGGTGTAGAATATCTTTAATAATGTAAAACATATCAAGCGGGCATTTTTCATCTGTTTTATTATTTTACAGCCATGTTGCTCTTAACGTGCCTTTCCCATGAAATAGTTATAACAGTTATATCGCTCTATTCTGGAGAAGAATAATTTTATTTTTTCCCTATATATCCCAGTTTTAACCCTTGATCTCTTATTGTACTCCCAAACTACCACCCGCGTTTTGATTTGAACAAATGTGAATCCATACTTTGTCAGTGCATTAGTCTTTTATCAGATGCTACCAAATAATAATTCTTTATTGATACTCTCCCAATAAAAAAGTGTGGTATTTCATTTCAATTAGTTTGAATTCCATTTACCCAATGATGTTTTATGGCATGATTTCTTGAACTTAGCACAGTTGTTCTAGGGAAGAAGTTGAAATGTCCAGAAAAAATAAGAAACAACGGAGAACATCAAACCAAAGCCAACAACCACAATTCAGAAAAGAGAAGTCGAGATTTTTTTTTTCAAGTTAGCTTTTTATTATACTGTAAAAGCAGAAATATTCTTTTGAAATTTGAATCTGTTTATTTCGTTGTCAACAATAGCAAATTAATTACATCCAACACATTTTTTAAAATAAATTTGGTTACTTCACAAACACTGAAAAAACCTTTTTAAATGACGAATCAATTAAATTTTATTTATTTGCGCCAAAGGTTCTTTTATAATCTTAGGAAATTAATTACATCCAACACCGTTTTTAATCGATTTTTACTCGCGCCTTCACTAAAATTTTCCACATGGTAACTTTCGGTTTTGTGACGTTTACTTGAAATATCAAAACAAAAACATGAAAAAGCGGAATATCAGTAAATAATAGGAGGAGTGGAGTTACTTCAAGATCAAACATGTTATAATAGCTATTTACTGAGTATTTAGCATGGTCAAATATTTAAATATTTTACTAAATATTTAAAACAAGACTGTATAGTATGAAGTGTTGAAGTTCCTTTATCCTGCCTCTGATAAAAATCTTTGAAATTCATTGGTCGAAAAGAATACTGCATGAAACGATGTTATGCTGTTTACCCACATCATATTGCTAATGTGCCCCCTCCGCGTGACCTACCCACCACACATCAAATTAAATGCCCCCTCCACGTGCTATACTTCACAGATCATAATCAATATGGTGTTTTCATTTGAACACACAAAGAGAATAAAAATTGATCTCATATACACATTAAATGATGTCGCAATGTAAACAATTGTTACGGAACGATTTACTAATACAAAAAAAATATTTTAAAGAATCTTTGATTGGATAATTCATTATGTAGACACTTAGAGGAGTACTAAAAACAGAAATATGTGGGGTTCTCGAAAAAACATTTTGGGCTCGGCTTACGCCTTGCCCAATATGCATTTTTTCAAGGACCCTTATATTTCTGCATTACCCCTCTAAGTGTCTACATAGCTACAAAAAATAAGTGTGAAATCAGAGAAAAAAAATTCCTTAAATATAATTCATTTAGTAGATATATCATTTGAGTCTAAATACCGAAAGAAGAAAAGAGAAAATATATAGGGAATTGGACCTACATATATATAAAACTCCTGCATCCCTAGTTAGGCGTTAAACAGATTGAGTTACCCTGGCCAATATTCACAGTTGAGTAAAATCATAAAAAAAACACATAATAATTCATAAGCACAACTTAGTTGATCTTACAGTTAGAGAAACATATAGGCAGCACAAAGAAAAATAAATTAATTTAAAAACATTTATTTATATAACTTACATATATTGAGAAAAGAATTGGAAGTTGAAATAGTTTTACGATTGAATGAGTTTTATTTTTATATACGAACAAGGATTTGTCACAGATACCAGATGTAGGATCTTTTGATGTCTTAGTTTACCTCATGCAGAAGTGTCGGTGGAGTTCTGCATGTGTATTAAATTACAAGCAAGGCAATCAATGGTTATTATCTTCATATGGTAGGACATATTCCTAAATTTTCATATTTTGTTTTTAAAGCTTTTGAATGAAAAATTTGATTTTTGAGTACATGAAAGTTTTTAGGATGATAAATTTTGAAAACATAATTATAATTAATTAACATATAGTTAATTAACATTATATACACATTTTCTAATTTCTTCTTTTTTTACTACAGGATATATTGGAGCATGTAGTATTGTGTTGCCTTCATTTTCTCATTGTCCAAGTTTTCTGTGAAAGGCACAGAGACCAAAGCACCGAGGCCTATACAAAAATTCCATACCAAGTGAAATAAGCAAGATAGATAGAAGATTGATCATACCCAACAACCATCCATTGTGCCCGCATTGTATAATATCCACACATAAAGCGTGCTGGTTTTGAGATACACACAGAAACTTAGACATTTAAGAGCATTGGCAATTAATTTTATTACAATGTATAGCATTGAGTATTGAATCATTATACAATGTACATAAAGAGTAGCTTCAATTTTATAACTTTTAACTACTGTGGTTTCATAAATTTTCATTGGCCTCAATTTTCGTGGATTTTGTAAAACATACGTTTTCGAGGATACGTAATTTCGTGGACAAAAGCATTGCCTGTACAAATGAATGTCATATTTCGTAATTCAATGAACATTTGAATTCGTGGATCTGCTCAATAATGAAACCCACGAAAATTGGTGCTCAACGAATAATGATGAAACCACAGTACTACTTTCACTTCAGGACGGTTTATGTTTGAAACTTTGTAGCACTAATAGTACATAAAGTATTTCTTATAAGCTACATTTAATTTTAAAAGATAAAGAATGTTTAATTAGCTTTCAGTCAATAATTAAAATAATAATTTTTAAAATGAAATGCATCTAATATATATAATATACATTGTATGTCTAGTTGTTTTAATACAATTATTTGAGACTTTTAAACATAAACATTTTACAAATCTGAAGCATTTTTCCCTCATAATAATTAATTCTTTACAAGTAGATTTTGAAGTTTGCACAAAAATGCAGATACAGTAAGAATTTGATTTGCTGCAGGTTTTAGATTTAGTGGCTTAGTTTTTGACAAAATTCGAAAAGATTTCAATCTACCAATAGCTCTCTCTACACGAATCCTCAAGTGAGCAATATTTGGATCTCTGGGGAGTGTATCTGGATCATTATACTGTTTTGCATTTTGCTGCAAATTGTCTGTATCAGTCATGCTGAAATCTGTCTGAGTTGATGCATCTGCGTTGCTGAGAAGGATACCGGTACATGCTCTCCATAATCATGATCTCTTGCAATATCTTCTATATAAAGCAAACATCAGTATTTAAGATACTTTAAGAATGTAAATACAAACATCTGTTTGATAATAGCCATTTGAAATTCTGAAATTAACTGATGATGTGAATTCATAATATCAATATAAGATGTAAAATAACAATTTTAAGCACCTGACCATGGGTGGGAGACAGATGTCTCCATGTCAGAAATCACACATTCTTTTACAACAGCCATTTAATTCTAGGGGATTCATGTCATCAGCATCAACCTGAGACAAGAATTAAATGATTTATTTAGCAACAATAAAAATAAACATTTCACCAGTACACATGTTCAACAATACATGACAGTACTGAATATTGTATTATTTTTTACAATTATATATTTGATATGTTTAGTGTAAGAATTATTAAAATAAAGAACAATGAAATTCAAAACAACTTACTTTATGTTTTACTGGTGTTAAGTCATAATCACTGCAACCACACAGACACCAGCATCGTTCTTCATAGAATTGTGTAAATGTAATAAAGCCCGTTCTCTTTTTAGAATTGAGGTATTAGGGAGAATCTACAAACGAAATCCATCTTTATTGTAGCAGTGTATTCATAGCAATAGTAGTGTATTTATTAATTGCAAAGCTTGTGTACGTTTGATTTTTTAGCTCTATTGGTCAAAGACCAGAAGAGCTTATGCGATAGTAATGCGTCCGTCGTCCGTCCGTCCGTCTGTCTGTCTGTCTGTCTGTAAACAATTTTCCAAAATGCTACTCCTCCTACAGTTTCGGTCTGATTTCAATATAGCTTGGCACACAAGTAGACTACACTTAGACACATTATTCTGTGCATCGGTTTTTGATTTTGATAAACGGTGTTACCATGGTTTACCAAAAAATATACATTTCTGTGAAATTCTTTCAAAATGCTACTTCTCCTACAATGTTTGTCCGATTTAAGTATAACTAAGCACACAAGTAGACTACACTAAGATACACGCAGGTAAGTTAAGGCAATGTATGGGCGTGTCTATGTAAATGAATTATGACGTCACAAACGATTTTGACGTGAAACCACGCCCATGACGTATGAGTTAAAACGGATTCTTGAAAAAGAAATTTTCCTTTGTGTTATTTTCCAAATACGCAATTAAATATTTTTATTTATTTTATTTTTATGAATTTTTGTCGTTAAAATATTTTTAAAAATCCCCTGTAAATAAAAACGGTAAAAGTTTCTTCGTCGTCTGAATGGAAGTCAACGTCCCTGCAACGCTTGACAAAACCTCGTGGGGCCATGCGAGAAGAAGATGAATGACGGAATATGTGTGCTTTTACAAGGCTAGTGGACATGCCGTATGCGTTGTCAAGAAAATTGTGATAGCTGTGAGAATGCAGGGGATGCGAAATAATAAAGAAATCTCGTAATAAAGGTATATGTATGGATATTTTTGGATAATTTGTTGTGAATGGGAAGAGCACATGTTGAATCTTCATAACGAGGCAATATTACGCATTAACCTTGTTTTGCTCTGTATGATGTTGTTAACAAAGAATTCTTATTTTACTTTTATAGAATGATGATGTGCATTTTATAAATGTGTTATTTGAGAAATCATATGAGTATCTAGCATGTTTAAGTCTGAACTAAACCTACTGAAAACGGAGAGTCTCGTATACATGTATAAAGTAGTATACCCTCAGTGGCGTCACATGAATGTGTACAGTGTCACAAATTACACCATCTTTGAAAAACTAAGTACTCAAATATCTAATGTTGATATTCTTTTGGTAAAGCATTTTTGAGGCACATGTGGAAATTGAAATCAAGGCAGAAAGTAAACAAATGTTTTTCTTGTCATACTTCTAATAAATTATAAAGATCGAGAGTTAATTAATTGCATATCATCCAAATATAAATTAAATGAATAACACTGTACAATTCTAAAATAAACACAGCACAAGTTTTAGGGCATTCCTAATACACGGGGCAAATATTCTGCTATGTTACCCTCAAACCCATGTGATATATGTATAATATGTTCTGGCAAGCAAAAATCCATGCAGGGCAAGTGAATTTTGGTCATTTACTTGTACTTGCCCTTGGAAAAGTGCCTTAAAAATCTATTGGTTAGCCAATGCATTCATTCATCTAGTGCCTGAGCAGGTTTCAACATTAACGTTAGTCCGTTAGTCTCAGACTAACACATTTTCATTCGGACTAATAAAAATTGTAGCTAATTAGTCTGAACGGACTAATAAAGTTTTCTGGGGAAAAAAAGAATTAACCGATGTTCAAATTTTCGACAATTTTCACTGGAAAACCCTGTAATTATTTTTAACTTTGTAGCTTCTTGGCGGGAAGTTTGGTAATTCTGACTCAATTCGGCACTTAATATAAGGACTCGTTGGAATGAAATTAAACATTTTAGCGATCATTATTTAGTATTACACAAAAAGAAAGATGTCGGATGTTTAGATGATGTAACCATGTATAGGGAAAAACGAATGAGATTGGGAATACGATCGTAGTTCCTGATTGCATGGTTTCAACGAATTCTTTGTATATACAATGGTATAACAATGTTCAGTATTTTCATCCAAAGTCCAGTATTATCAAGACTCTTCTACAGTATTTTGTCTTAAAATTATCACATGTATGAATCTCCAAACAAAAATTACTCTATTAGAGGTGGAACAATACAACGATACATCGATCGTATTGATTGCAAATTCTCACATTTGCATATTGTGTTGCCTTTTATTACACACTTAGTAATAAATACAGATTTTCTGCATATGTGATATAGCTGATGTCACAATAGCCGTATCAGCCCTGCAGGGCTGATATGGATTTGCAGCCTATATCAGCCCCCCAAATCCATATCAGCCCTTCAGGGCTGATATGGCTATTGTGACGTCAGTATCAGACCCTTAGTAAATTAAACCACAAAAACAGTACATGATGTACTTGTGATCATATACAATTTTTGGTGGGTTCATATTCTCTTTTTTTTTATTTTGGAAAATAAGGTTAATCTTAATTTACAGATGCATGTAATAGTCTAATAGATAATTTTCAAATTACGGATCGAGTGCATTGAAATAGAAGTAATAAAAAACCCAAATCGTATGAGACAATAGATCATGCACATGTATGTAAGAAGTCTTATTTACTTATTTTCTTCTCAAATAAGTTATGCTGTATTTTATTACCAAGTATGTAATAAACATATTAATACATACCCTTCTCCACATCACATCCTGTATCAGCCCTCGGGCCCTCGGCCCTCTGGCTGATATTGGTGTCTCGGGCTGATACAGGATGTGATATATGGAAAAGGGTATGTATTATTCTCTATGTATGTAGTGACACAGAACAAGTTAATCTTCATTGTCTAAGAAATTTTAATGCTACAGAATATTTGAAAATAGGTAGTAACGAAAAAAATGCAATGCTAATTAAAACTATAAGTCCACCTATAAATAATGAGAAGTTATCTTCTCAAAAAATTCTATTCTTTTATATTTTCTATAAAAGTGGAGGTTAGCAAGCAGGCTGATGTAAAGATATCACTTAACTTAATTGCTGACAGGTGTATTTGGTATTGTTGAACATTGACAGGGGTTCAAAATTTTTTTTGTCATGGTCAAGTCCAGGACTTGAAGAGTAAATTTTAGGCAAGTCCGAGGAAGAAATTTTAGAGTCCATATTTACCTATACATCATTTAATTTATGTAACTTATAATTTATTTTCATTTGTTGCGTTGAATGAATAAAGACTATATGCATTAATATATATGTTTTATTTTTCCTCCATAAACTGTCATGATTATTTTAACACAATACCAGACTGATAGATTACTGGTACATTACAATAACTTTTACAAATACTCACTACTGAATAAACCATCTGTTACAATAAGAAGAAATTAGAATGTGCTGTTAGTCACATCTAAAACCGAAATTTAAGAAACTCATTGCTTTTTGTCATATAGGAGGAAACATGAGGAATTGGGTAAAAGCAAGAATCTAACCGCAACAGAAAATAAAAAGACGGATTGTATTTTCGAAACGTTCGTAATGTTTTATGGGTATTTTAACGCCCACAAACCCACATTTTCACCTATTACATTTGAGAATTTGCTTTTATTTTAGCTTTAAGATCATTAATTTGCTTATAAAAAAAGATAAACAAGAAATATAGCCAAGTCCCAGGACTTAGGCGAATTCTAAATGCCGAGTCCGGATCCGGAATTGGTTAGTCCGGGACGTCGGGCTTGAGGATTTTTGAACCCCTGCATTGCTGAAAATAATTTTGAAAGCTTTTGCTGAAATATAAAATTAGATCTGTATTATCTCTGAAAATGAACAAGATGTAGCAAAATCTCTCCAATGCTTTTCAGGAGGATGTTCAGTCTGTACATTTTTAAATAGGTACCCATGTTTCTTTAATACTTATATGCATGTGTATTATTTGAAGTCCCAATTAAAGAAATCTATAAGGCTTTATGCTAAACAATGCTAAAAGGAATATATTTTCCTCTTATGCAAATGTATGGATTCATAATTTCATGGAACTATTTAATTAATAATTAAATAATCATAAATTACTATATAAAAAATAAATATTTTTATGTGAGAAAAGTAGATAAAAGTTTATGTGTTATATCATATACATGTATGTGAAACCATGAGGATGCAGGGGAAAACTTGTATCCATTGATTAGACATTTATGAGTTTTAGACAAATTCTTTCACCCTTATCTTTAGAAAAAGTAAATGCCCCAATGACACAAGAGGGTTTCAGCATGTTCCTTCAGTAACTGAATTTTGTCCTTTTCAGCTAGATCATTAGGCATGTCCTGCAACATATTTTTCAATTCTCTTTGTCTTTTACTTATTTTAGTTTGAATCTTGGCCAGTGATTGATCCAAGGAGGCGGAGATAAACTTGTCTTTTGGATGATATTTAGACAAGCGTCTATACTTCTTGAATTCATCAACTTCAGGTGATGCTCCCAAGATCATCTCAACCAAAGTTTCTGTGTTCAGAGTTTGGCCTAAAAAATAATGCTATTTTTTTAAAGAAATTGTTTGCCCTTATTGTAAATAATGAAATTCAACATTTCAACATATTCAGAAATATACACTATAATTTTCAGAAAAAAAGCTGAAACTCTCAAGTACTAGCTGCGCCACATGGGTGACTCCATAATCATGGAAATGAAGTTTGACAATACAAATGGTATTTTTTTTTAATAAAAGTTATATTTTATCCAAACAAGTAATTAAGCCCAAGTCATTTTTCGGGGATGGGGGGTGGGGGTGGGAATAAATTGAGAAATAATTGTGTAATACCTCTGTCTTCATGGAACAATCTTTTTTTGCATTTCACTGATCCAAGTTTCAAATGATCTACAATGGAAAATTAGGTACAAATATTATTTTGTTACCCCCATCCCCAGTAGATAAATCTATTTTTTAATTGTAAAATCCAAAAAGGAAAGGTTGGGATTTTGATAACTGACCTTCATTTAATGCCGAATTCTCATTTCTTCTTTTTCCCCTGTGAACGCATGACAGACTTGTTAATTGAACATGAAAATGGATGATAAGTTCATAATGTTTCAATAAATTTAGAAGAGATGTAAATATATGTATATTAAATTAAAAATATAAATTTTGCATCAAACCAGAATAATGTTCATTCATTGGAAAATGGAGGAGATCACATTCCGTTGTTAAATATTTTCATTTAATTTTGTTTGCATGGATTTTTCTTTTTAAGTATAACCCCTCCTTTTGAATTGAGTAAAATTACTGACATTTTTCTTATCTTGGGAAAAAATCAACTTAATTAATTAGAAAGATAAAAATTGCATGAAAAAAAAAATCATTCTTAATTAATTAGAAAGATAAAAATTGCATGAAATAAAAAAAAAGCACTTTTAACTGTTTCCATTAAGAAAGAGGATTTTCTATTCGTGTCCTCTTTTTTGAATTCAAAATGAAAAATGAAGACAATGCAATTTCAGCAATCAACATTTTTTTAATTCATTGTTATGATTGAATACATTGAGAATTGGTGAGAACACCAATTTTTATGTTAAAACAGACAAATTATTAATCGGTTTTCTACATTAACAGTCAAAAATTGGTGAATGCACCAATTTGAATTATCAATATCTTCAAATAAATATAGATCTTGGTGGTTCCACCAAGAAAACAAGAGTGAGTTTACAATACTTAATTCTCTAGTTAATTCTACAAATTAGTGAACTAACCATACAACAACTTGGTGAGTCCACCGAAAATACGAAGACAAATGCCTAAAATTACATAAAATAGATATAGCAAGTGTATTATATCAGTAGTGGGGAATTTGGTGGTTCCACCAAAAAATTGAATGTGGTGAAATTCCCGATAACATTTTAAAAATGACGTTGGTGAATCCACCAGTTTTAAAATACTGAAACAACCCATCGAGAGAAACTGAGTTGTAGAACCACATAAAAACGTCCTTTATACAG